TACATGTAATTTTTCATTCTGTTCGCTACCTCTGAGGTAGCGAACAGAAGGACCAAGCCAAATTCTGTACGGCAGCATTCGCCTATTCACTTTCTGCTATTTGGCCCCTATAAGAATAGGGGTGAACAGCAGCGAGTGAACTGCCGAACGTTCGCCTCAGCCAATCCAGATGCTGGATTGGCTGAGGCGAATGGGTTCTTCCCTTCGGTTCAGCCGAACGTGCTGAGGCTCTTTGGCTAAACCAAAGGGAAGTGAATGGAGCCAAAGGTAGCTGATGTACAGCTGAAAATAGCTGTACACGGCTGAAGTGAATAGCCGAACAGGCTTCGGCTCCCTTCACTTCGGGTCGGTTGTTCACTCTGCTGCCTCAGGCAGCTTAGTGAATAACTCCCTCAATTTCATACTCAAGATGAGGTCTCAAGAATTATTTGAATAAAAGGAAGGGAATATGTTTTATACAATAGGTAAAGAAAGGAATACGATCTGCACTGCACCTCTACATTTCCGCAATACATACTAATCACTTACAAAGTTAGAAATGTACTTTAAAGTTGATTCCAGAAAATCTTTGTAATGTGTAACACAAGTGGCAAACTGAAAGGCTGATAGATACAATAGAGTAAAGGCAAAATTCAATACAATAGAGTACAGATAATGCTTCACTGCTGGGTAACTGCCAGGGTAAGTGTGAAAAGTAGAGGTGCACCGAAATGGAAATTTCAAAACCGAAAAAAAAAAAATTGCCAGGCCAAAACCGAAAATGTTTTTAATTTTAATTTTTTTCAATTGTTTTTAATATTTTTCTTTTTCTTTCTTTTTTATAAACTTTTTAAAGGGAGGAGAGACGCCGGCCGCTCACAGCGCTGTCCTCCCGCAGCGCTCGCCTGTCTGTGACACTTTATCTCTTCCCCACTGGGACATAGAACAGCACCCAGCAAGAGGGAGAGAAAGCAGGTATGCGCCGCTGTATCGGCAGAAAAATTGTACTTTCGGCATTTAGCCAAAAGTGCAATTTTCGGCCGATATGTTTTGGCGGCCGATATATCGGTGCACCACTAGTGAAAAGTGCATAAAGCATTCATCATAAACTATGCCACAGGAAGCAAAGTAGGCACATACATGTAAAATTGCAGAACTTTGCATTCAAATCTGCCAATAATACCAGATAAATGTAGGATACGCAAGTCAAAACGCTGTATATAGTGGAGATGGATGTGTATGATCGGATTCCAAATGAATATCCACGACTCCATAGGTGACACGGACATGTACTCAAGCACATGGAAAGCAGCCCCGGCTATAGAGCAGTGCTCTGTGACAGCTCAGTGTATGTCCCAGTCAGGCTGTCATTTCTAACTTTCCAGTCCCGGGCCGCCCTCACCTCATCCTCCTCCGCCTGCTCCTCTTCGGTTTGCTCTGGTGCAGTCATGACTGAAATGGCCTCCCCATCTCCCAGTGCCTCATCCCGAGTCCCAGCCAGTGTGCCCCCCCCCACCTGATGCTGAGCAGTATCGGCCCTGGGACAATTGTGGTGTGGGCGTGTCTGGCGACAGGCCCCTTGATCTCGGTCAGTGAGAGCTGGGTAAGGCGGGGTGGGGAAGGGTGTGTTGAACTACAAGCAGCCCAACTAATCGATAATGACATTTGCTGACAAAGATTTTCATTATCGATTATTTCGATGCTGAGGATGGTATGCTGGACGGAAAGTGTCCCATACATTTTGTCAGGAAGAAAGTGGAAGTCACAAAAGGAAAGAGTAAGCACTGATGGATACATTCTGTTTGCTTTTAACCTGATTAGAATACATTCTGTTTGCTTTTAACTTGATTAGATAAAGAGGAGGGTCTATCCGGATCAGTGAAAGCTGTGCTCTGTCCAAAGTTGATAAGTGATTACATTCTCTGAAAAGTTTATTAAGGGCAATTTTTTTCTTTCTTTTAGCCTGTAAAAGTATATACCAGTGTTTTGACAGGTAGTGCAACATCTACGAAGTTCATCCACTGGGAGAAATATAGACTTTCTCTAGCCATCTAACCCACATTCACTGCTTTCCCAGCCAGAAAACTTGGTTCATGTAGTATTGTTACATATAGAAAAAAAGTGTAAGATTATGATTATTAAAATACACACCAGAGAGGTGAGTGGAACTGGGCACCCCATGGACATGTCAGTGGCGCACAGCCTCAAGAGTGGCAGCAAAAGGAGCGGACTGACGACGGGAAGATCCGGGTCGTTTTGGAGAGAGGTTAGGGGCACAGAATCTGTGATTCCCGGTATAAATGGCAGGATGTGTAGCGAGAGCTCTCCGTTACACGTCCAGCTACATGAAGCCGTCGGCCACGTGGAAAAAAACAACTTGTCCTCTTTGCTGAAGTGCGGCGAAGGATTGACTATTTTTTTTTTTTTTATTAACGAGAAGCTATCCAGTATCCTCCTGAACTCACAGACCCGGTTTTTGAAAATCTGGGAACCCTGGATACAATATGCCCCTGACCGTTTCAATGTAGAGCCTGACGGTGCTGTGATCCACCTGGTTTCCTGGGTAAGCCTACTGACGGGTGATCCTGACACTGCTTGCATCTTAACCTTTCTGTACTCTTGGACTACTATGCTCATCTGTTATTTACTTCCCTTCTTCTTCCCACCTCTCCCTTTCTTGTCTCCTCTTCATGCAGTCCGTCCAGCTAAAAATGTGTGTCCCACACGTCCAGCTAAAAATGTGTGTCCCACACCTGTCACTGCCACAACATTTCTTTTGTTATTTTTAGCTTTAATCTCTCTGTGGCAGAGATGTATTGTATTGTATGGTACAACACAAGTTGTGGTCTGTATGAACCTCTCTCTGCTTTGATATGTGTTATGTATTGTAACATTTGAAATCTGTTCTGTTTATAAAACCAATAAAAACATTTGGTGAAAGAAAAAGTACGCGGAGAGGGTCAACAGACTTCACACCACGCAAAAAAAGGGTTTTTTAAAAAAGGGAACATTAATTCCGGGTGAGTTTCGACTCGCAAAGATAGTCAAGGTACCCCACGATCGCAACCCCCAGCCTAGGGGCCAGAACCTTGTTGAACTCTCACGGCACTGACGCCAGAGCCAAAGGAAGCACCACGAATTGGAAGTGATCCTCCCCCACCACATGAAGCAAGCGGCAAATCGGCACAAGGAGATATGCTTCCTAGACGTCGACAAAAGCAAAAAGGCTAGTTCGAGACTTTCCGAGGGAGGCCCAGGGACAACCAAACCAGGGACAACAGATCCACAACTGCTTGGTGCAGATTTGCAAGCCACTGGGGAGAGGGACACGTGTGAGAAAGAAAAACTCTGTCCACCAACTCTACTACGAAGCTGGAAGACACCTGTTAGCACCCTCAGGTGTCCAAAATGTGGAAAACAACTGGTTCACAAACACCTGAAGACAGCCCCCCAGGACTTGCTGCACTTATCTGAGGAGGTGGAGGGCCAAAAAAGATGTTTGTGGGTGGAAAAGGACGTCCCAGTTTTCCGATGCTTAGGCCTTGGGTCTTCTGGCTGGAGGCAGAAAAGTACTCCTGTCCTCCAGCAAGTTACTGCACAATCTTGTCCAGTGCAGCCCCAAATAGGTGATCCCAGCAAACAGCCATTTAGCCCACAAAGGAGCACGACTGCAGTGCAAAAGGCCAGTCAGCAGGCAGCCCAGACCCCTCCAACCCCAAATGCAGGAGGGCCCTGCCATTCACCCCCTGTGTGCAGCTGCAGACTAGAGTAGCAGTCCATAGAAAACATGGCCGCACTGCCCTAGCGCCTAGCACAGGGAGTCCAAGCCAGTCCCCCTAAGCAAGGCTGCCAGAGACTACAGGCAGCTTAACAGAAGAGGCAGTAAAAACTGCCGGCTCACACTTACCACCACCGAATAGACCGACTGCTGCAGGCCCCCCCCCCCCCCAGCACCACATACTTACCCAGGTGGAGGAGCAGCAGTAAGGTCCAGCAGGGCAGTATTGCCAGAAGAACCAGCAAAGTCGACACTAGTAGGAAGTCGACAGAAGCCTGCAAAGGGATGCGGAACGCCATAACCCAGGCGCCGCCAGCCTTAGTGCGGCACTGTGACTGAGCTGAGGAAACCCCCAGTCATATGCACCTCCAGTCGGCCAAGGTCTTGCAGAAGGACGTGGAACGCCATCAGCTGTAGCCTGGGTGCAGCCATCCCAAGTGTGGTACTGTGACCGGGCAGCCAAAACCCCCAGCCATAAGCACCTCACCGAGAATTCTCCCACGGGACACTCTTGGGATCCAGAGTAGTCGCAGCCTACCCCGCCGTGGCGAGAGCCTGCATGCGCTCGATGACCAGCTGGAGAAGGCTACAAGATTCTATAGAACATTAAGCATGTGTCCCAGCCAGCTCTTGCTTGAAGAGTTACTAAAAATTTATAGAAAAAATCCTAGGAAAGAGTTGTAGGTCCTTACTTCTGACGCTAGGCAAAAAACTGGAGGCTGGTCAGCAGGTGGGGGGTTGGCCACCAGCATAGGCTGGCCCTAGGCTGTTTTTTTGTTTTATGCCTAGGGACCTTCTCCTGGAGGGGGTGCAATACCCCCTGGTTTCAGATCTACGATCTCTAAGCTACTATGTGTCCTTCAATGAACGAAAGAGAAAAAGCACCCGTCACTCACTGCCCGACGGAATAAACAAAGCCTGCTATTGTTTGCCATATAAATTAATGTTTACTAAAGATTTCTGAGCACATTTTGGACGAAATCATTAATGAATGTACCCCTAATCATATTAGAAATGTACCCTTATTCATAAAATTGTTAAAAGGTTAATTTATATTTCATTAATCTTGTATATCATTTTCTTTAGCTTATGGTGTCATGTGATCTATATTTTCCGTCAAACTTTTATCCAGGTACAGGTTTGAGTAACTATGCACACATTTGCCATTATTATACTTGTCATTGTATTTTTAATACTTTTAGAGCTTTTTATAAAAGGCATATATTTAATAATGATACTGTACCTGGAAGCTGGAGTAAATACTTATATGGTTCCAGTAATATCCTCTCTGATGTCTCTTTGGAAGCAGCCATTTTCAATTTTGGAAATCTTCTGTTAATTGAAGGATGTGCTGGAATTGTAAAGAATAAAATTATTTCACCTGAAGCCACAGCTATTTAACAAGCGAAAATATAACAACATTTAAACATACAAACACTTTGGTATTAATGTAATTCTTTTTTTAGTCAGTAGATATAAAATACTGCATAGAATTTTTTTTTTACATTATTTCTGGTATTTATATAGTGCTGACAATTTATGCATACACTGTAGTTACACATTCACATCAGGCCCTGCCCTCAAGGAGCTTACAATCTAAGGTGCCTATCTCGCATGCATACATACGAGGGCAACTTTAGACAGGAGCCAAATAACCTACCAGCATGTCTTTGGAGTGTTGGAGGAAACCGGAGTACCCAGGTGACAAGCGCAAGTTTGGTACTCCACAGTTTCAGATACCCCATTTACTGCTGTGCTTCAGAGAGCTGATTTGGGAGTATCTCAGGTTATGTACAGCTAAATGCGTCACATGCCCTTCCTTCTCTCTCTCTCTCTGGCCAACATTTACCTGCCCAGCACAGACCAAATAACATTCCGTCAGAATGTTATGCAGCAACAAGCTGACTTCAGCGTCGGTACCTTCTATCCTCTGAATTCCAAAGCTTCTACAACAAACTCTAAAATGTACAATCCAAACCAATTTCTCCTCAGTTACAAGATAGAATGGCTATGATGACACATTATATTCAAAACTTGCAGGAGAAGAAGCAACTAGAAACCCTCCTCTCTCTTAGGAGAAACATGATTTAGCCATTAAATAAACTAAAGCAGGAAAGGCCATGGGTCCTGCTGACCTCTCCTTGCCTTACTACGAAATGTTCCTCTCTTCCATGTCTACCTATAATTCCATTTTGAAAGACACCCCGCTACTAAATGATTCTCTCAGGGCTCACATTGCCATCATTCCAAAAGTAAACAATGATCCTACCCAGTGCAGCAGTTATCGCCCCATAGCCCTACTTTATGTCCGGTCAACAGACAATTGCCATACGTACAAAAACTCATCCACACTGAGTAGGTAGGATTTGTCCTCTTTCACAAGACAAAGAGATAACACCACTAGGGACTTGAACATCATTCATAATGCTCTTTCCTATGCCAGTCCCTTAATGCTTCTCGCTACAGATTCTGAAAAAGGTAGATAGGGTAGAAGAACAGTTTATGTAGAATGACATGTTATGCAAGCCACCTTACAACACACTGTTCGGGACCACCACATGTGTAAATGGATCTCACCTCTGTACTTTAGACCTTCCTCAGCAGTCAATGTGAATGAGACAAGATCTGACAAATTCACAATATCAAATGGTGCATGTCAGGGATGCCCTCTTTCCTCACTCATAATTACTCATCTTAAAATCTTTCCTCTGCTTGATCAGGGCGGATAGGAATATTACTGACCTGATCACACCCTCTGGAAAAAAAACAAAACAAAAAACAACAGCCTATGCATACGATTTAATTTTATATCGTTTTAGCACACTAACTTTAGAGTCAACATTCCAATTCAACAGCATTGAACATATCAATACCTAACACTTACCTACCTCATTTACTATCATACTTGTTATTTAGGTGGGTTAATAAAATGCCTTGCAACCATTATTACTGCTGACCTCAGTAAACTTGATTAAGCCAACTTTGCCCATTGCTACACAGAATAAAAAAACACAAACCCTCAAAACCTGACATGTGCCCACCTTAACTTGGCTCGCTCATTAGAATTCTATCAAAATGCTAGTTTTACCTAGAATACTATACCTTCTGAGACCACCCCCCCTCCCCAATTAAGCTACCAAAACACCTTTTCTTAGCAAATTTTGAAGCATGCTCACCGCATCCATTTGAGCCCATAAATCCCACAGCATTCACCAATAAGTTTTGTCTCTCCACAAATAAAGGAGGCGTTGGACTACCAGACATAGCCTTGTACTCACCAGATCACGGATTTCATCCTTGAGCTGCTTAGCTTACCAGATCATGGATTTTATCCTTGCCTCCTGAAGTCCTTGCATACCCATCCATTCAGATGGCAAAAAAGTCTATTCAGAATTACTGGCCTTTCCCCCATTCCATCTCCTTTAACCCCAGTGACAAAAGATTCAGATTTTCCACAAGGCCTGGACAATAAGAACTAGAGGTGCCCCGAAATTGAATTTTTAGAACAAAACCGAAAATAAAACATTTTTCAGGCCGAAACCGAAGCTTATTTTTTTTTTTAAATGGTATCTCTTGCCCCTTATACCAGAATTGTTTCAATGGTTCAGAGCAACCACAGTCTTCACTAAACTGGATCTTTGTGGAGCCTACAACTTGGTATGAATTCAGTAAGGGGATGAGTGGAAGACGGCATCCCGCAAACGATTCGGGCATTTTGAATACTTGGTGATGCCTTTCTCCAACACTTTGTCAATTACATTTTCAGAGACATGCTAGATCTTTTTATGATAGTTTACCTGGATGATATATTGATCTTCTCCTCTTCCCTGGAGACGTACATAGGTCATGTGAAAAGGGTCCTTTTCTGCCTGTGAAAGCATCAGTTATATGCTAAAGCAGAAGAATGTGAGTTTGAGAGAGACACCATTCAGTTTCTAGGCCTCAGTAACTCATCATCAGGAATATCAATGGATGCGCAGAAGGTTTCTGCCATTCTAGGCTGGCCAGTACCAAATGATCACAAAGGGGTGCAGAGATTTATAGGGTTTGCCAACTTTCACCGTAAATTCATCAAAAACTTTTCTTCCATCATTGGTCCCATTATCCAGCTAACTAAACCAAATACACGTTTTTCCTGGGCTATGGCTGTCCAAGACGCATTTGACAGACTAAAATTCCTGTTCACCTCTCCATCAACCTTCAAACACCCTCATCCAGTTCTGCCTTATGTGCTTGAAGTTTATGCATCAGAAAATGCTGTGGGGGCCAAATCATTATTACACTCCATTGCTTTCTTTTCCCATAAACTCTGCTCCACTGAAAATAACTGTGATGTCGGGGACAGAGGACACCAGGCCATCAAATTGGCTTTAGAGGAGTGGCAATACTGACTGGAAGGTGCAGTTCATCCTATCTTGATCTAAACAAATCATAAGAATTTGGAATACCTCCGAACTGCCAAGCGATTGAAACCCTGACAAGTGGGATGGGCACTTTTCTTCTCGCACTTTTATTTCCATATTACCTACTGGCCTGGGTCAAAAAACTGTAAACCTGGACTCCCTCTCTCGAATGTTCCCACGAAGAAAAGAAGGTGGACTCTCCTGACACAATCCTGCCTGACCAAAGTTTCCTCTTAGTGAACCCTGACTTACTGTCTCAGCTTAAACATGCATCCATAAAGGATGCTTTACCTTCTGATCTGGCATTCCAAGAGCAAGATGGTCTGTTTTACTTTGATAATAAAATTTTTGTGCTTTCAGTCTTGTGGTCCAAGATTTTCGGTCTCTTTCATGACCACCCTTCGGCAGGGCACTTTGGGGTACTCAAAACTACTGAGCTGGTACAATGCTCTCTTTGGTGGCCTAGTTTATGTTCCGATTGCCAGGATTACATCAGGTCCTGCGAAGTGTGCATTCGGCATCAAACGGATAAGACCAAAGCCTGGAGTTTGTTGAAGCCCCTGCCCATTCCTAACAAACCATGGGAAATGATTAGTATGGACTTCATTGTAGAGCTTCCCCATCCAAAGAATTCACGACTATCTTTGTGATTGTTGATCGTCGTACCAAAATGGCTCAGTCACTGCCCATGCTCCATACTCCCCTTCAGCTACCGAGGCTGCCCAAATATTTATTAAGGAGATCGTACAACTCCAGGAAGTTCCGAGCAATATTGTTTCAGATCGAGGTGTGCAGTTCACATTCAAATTTTGGGGAGAGCTTTGTAAAGCCATGAATATCAACAATGTTTTTTCCTCTGCGTACCTTCCTCAAACTAACGGTCAAATTGAACGCATCAACCAGACAGTCGAACAATATTTGCAATGTTTTTCCTCTTTTTCACAAGACAACTGGGCCGAATTACTAGCGCTAGCAGAGTTCACTTATAATAATTCTGTATCTTCAGCTACTGGACAATCACCATTTTTGCTAACTTGGGCTATAATCCATCTTTTTTACCTAACCTGATTCTGGATACTTCTGTTCCTGCAGTCAAAGAGAGGACTGTGCAACTTCCCTCCAGCTAAAAAGTTCTACAAAACGCTCTGGCCAAAGAGCAACAAGCCAAGAATTTTTATATTATTTTTATAAAAAAAGGAGAGGGGACTTGCCTGCATCCTGGAGACAAGGTACGGCTTTCTACGGCATATTTGAAAATGTCTTGCCCTTCTAAGAAACTGGGACCTAGATTAATTGGTCCATTTCCTGTAAAGAGACAAGTTAATTCAGTGGCTTATAAACTAACCCTGTCAAAAGCATACAGATTCATCCCATTTTTCATGCTTCTCTGCTAAAACTCTCCATTACTGATCCCTTTGCTGACTGTGCGTCGTGTCCGACTGCACCTACTCAAATTGAAGGTGTAGAGGAATACGAGGTGGAGACTATTGTGCACTGTAAAAAAAGAAAAGGGCCAGTTCAATTTTTAATTAAATGGAAGGGCTATAGCCCTGAAGATAATTCCTGGGAACCAGATATTAACATACATGCTGCTAAACTTGTTCAAGAATTCTTTCACAGGCATTCTGAAAAACGTACACTGATGGGCATCCAGAGGCTGCGCTTTAGGATGGGGCAATGTAAGAAAAGCCGTGCGCATGCCCAGTCCAAACAAGGTTCTGTCCGCACCTCGGCGCATGCTCAGAAGCCTGTTCTTAGGGTCAGAGGTAAATGTGCGCTGTTTCGTAGGTATGTGTGCATTTCCAGCAAGTCGCACAGGCAGCGACATTTGAGGAACCATATTTAAATGGACATGCTGCTTTCTTCCTTTGCTGATTGATCTTCAGCTGTTCTTGTGATCTGAGCTTGCTGTTATCCTGTTGTCTTCAGT